GGTTGAAGAACGGGGTGTATGTGGAGGTGGGAGAGGAAGACAGTGTGGTGAAGAATCCCACGAAATGTCTTACAACTCATGTTTGTTCCAGAAACACAAGTAAGGACCTTCTGCTATTTTGAAATTAATTAATTTTTGATTGCTGGGCTGTATTCTTAGGAATGTCACTATTCTGAGACTGAACCATGTGGGTCATAATTTTTTAAATTAGTCTTACATAAATTCACATTAGAACAAGTCACGTGTACCATTTGGAGAAATGGCTAGCTGATAAAATTGCCTACCAAGAAAGGTGTGGATAAGAAAAACAGCTGAGGTTACAGGTTCCCAAATCTTAGGATACGTAAGACCTGGGGAGCATTGTAAAATGCACTCTTGGACCACATACCAAGAAGGTTTGATGCTGTTTTTTTAGATGGGGGTCTAGGAATGTGCCTGTTTCATTACCTCCCACATGATTCTGATGCAGGGAGTTTATGGGCCAATAAGAGTCAGACATCTCCAGACAGTTCTGTGTGCCACAGGGGCACCTGGAGCTCAACTGTGGAAATATGAGCTCAGGAGCATTCCCTTGGATCACTCCAAAGAAAAAGACTTCGGACATTCTCTGTTGCATTCTTGCAAGTCACATTTGCAGGGACATCTCCTTACTTTCTCAGTGATAATTATCCCCCCTGCAGTCCTTGAAATCTATAGATTAACTGAAGATAATAACTGATTTTTTCTTCTGATTTACAAAATAGGCATTTACCTAAAACCCTCTACAACACTAATGCAAGCTATTAAATCACATTTACCAGAGTCATCTCACCAGTGCAAATTTCTACAAAATCTTAACAAAAAGATAAAAGGAAAGAGGAGTTGGCTGTGGATTGTAAAGCTTAATTTTCCTAACTACATAACAGAATGCAGAAATGAAAACAGGAAACATTGAAGTTATTGATGGAGTAAAGATGCTTACGTTATAAAGCATAAAAATCTAACACCTAAGTGTACTAAAATGATTTTAAAATATTTTCTTTTTTTTTATTATAGAAGTAAAACATCCACAATGTAGAAAATGAGTATAATAAAATTTGAAGACAATGCTATAGTAATTAGCACATTGGCTTCCAACATCTGAGACATTGTGGTTATCTTATTTTAAAAAAGCAAAACTAAAAAAAAGCCATTAACTAGCCAAGCAGGCTTTGCTTTACACTCCAGAACTACTGGTGATTTCTCAGTTGCTTTCATTATAGACTTGATGGAACTAGACACAAAAGCTTGAGACTCAAAATAAACACATATCACTCTACAGATGAATAATTCTAAAGCCCTTTATTTCCAAGGGGGAGGGATACCTTATGTCACATAAGCCTTGACATCTCAAGTATAATGGTGGATACATGTCATTATACATTATCCAAACCCATAAAATGTCTGACACCCAAAATGAACCTTAATGTAAACTATGAATTAGAGGTGACAATGATGTGTCAATATAGGTTCATGACTTGTAAACAAATGTACCACTGTGGTGGGAGATGTTGATAATAGGGGAAACTGTGCATGTATAGGGATAGGGGTCACATGGGAAATCTCCACTTTCCACTCAATTTTTCTGTGAACCTAAAACTGCTCTAAAAAGTAATATCTATTAAAAATGCACTTAGTTATTAAAATTACTTGTTTCTATACACATTACCTATGCATTTTTTTTAATGATGCACCAGGAAAATATTCTATGCTAAAGTCTTGTGGGTTGTATTAAATTACACTAAGGGTCCTGCTCATAAATGATGACTTCTCAAATAGAAAATAATTATTCTTAAATATTTATTTCCCTTTCTCCCTTGCTTTCCACAGGATGGATTTATTGACATTTTGGAGTTTATCGCTGCTGTAAATCTAGTTGTACGAGGAAAAATGGAGCAAAAATTAAAATGGTATTTTAAGCTGTATGATGCTGATGGAAATGGTTCTATTGACAAAAAGGAACTACTGAACATCTTCATGGTAAGTGAAGTAGTAAAGTATCCCTTGCAGATCATTAGATAATCCAATTTTCTTTCCTATGGAGTAGGTGAAACCCCTCTGTGTGGTTGGCTCTTCCTGGGATACACAATTTGAATTGCTGAATAATTTTAAGTTTCATTTATCCTTTTCGTTTGTGAATGTGCAACTGCAAATCACCACTTTCTTCTTGGTGCAGTCCACCCAGAAGTTAACAAATTTAGCAGAGAATTGATATGGAAAATGAAATAAATATGATGTTCTAAAACAACTGATCTTTTTCTCTGCCTAAGTGCAGAAAGTCTTGTGGGCAGCAGCTAAAATACAAAATTATATATATATATATATATATATATATATATATAGCAAGAGACATGGACTAAGAATGAAGGTGGGTCAGGAGTAATCTTTCTGGGAGCTGGACAAAAGTATTTCCAATAGATGCTTCTGGAATCTCATATTCTTTCCATCTCTAAAGTTCAGTGAGTGCCTTTATAAACCACTCCCCCCCCCCATGGAGTAGGGGACAGTTATTATCATGATATATGATAAAGTGAATCCCTGAGTAAGAAATTATTAAATGGGACTCTGTACCTGAATGAAAGTAAGAGGTGTAATAAACATGATGCATGCAGAACTCTGAATTTGTAACATAGAATCAAGTTGAGTTAGAATTGGATTTCTTCGAAATGATCTGGGCCAAATTATTTCTTTTATAGATGAAAGAGCTGAGTTACAAACAAAATACATAGTAGAAATATACATAGTGAGAATACATAGTGAGGAAAATGAGAAAGTATAACTACAATTATAACTAAACATCTCAAGCAAATGTAGAGTTAAACAACATTTAAAATAATTTAAGGGTATGATAATACCAATATTGGTACCATTTTAATCTTACATAGATCATCCATCCACACACAAACAAAAAATGTACTGAGATACATTTTGCAATTGAACTTTGTAAGCATTAAAATTCAGAAATTCTGCACATATATCACATGTTACAACACAAATCGGGAATCAAAAATATTCTGTAAAGTGTGCCTCACCTTCTGTAAACTTTAAAATATCTTCTTAAATACATATACCCCAGCTTATTCTAAAAACAATTAGAAAGTAAATAATGCATACAAAACTTAGGGGATGACACCAAAGCTTTACTCAGAACAGAGGTTCTTATCCTGGGATCTAAGAATCTGTGGCTTTCAGTAATCCTTGAAGCTCTTGAAATTGAAGGTGAAATTTTGCCTATATGTTATGAATTTTTGGGGGAAAGAGGTCATCATATTCTCAGAAGATTAGGAAGAACCAAAGGATAAAAATGATTTTATCTAAATTTTATGGGAAAATGTGCATAGATGTTCATTAGTTAATATGTATGACTTGGGGCGGGCTGGTTAGCACAGTTGGTTAGAGCATGGTGTTGATGACACCAAGGTCAAGGATTTGGAT